ATTATTTATTAAACACCAGGCACAATCAAAAGTATAAAAACATTGACTGGTATTATATAACAGGTACAAGTTTTGACCGAAAACCTAAGTATCTGTTAAATATCAGCACAGTATATATGCTGTTCCTAGTACTGCCATTTTTTGTAGCTCTGATGGTGTGATTTCTGAGATCTGCAACTGCTTATAGTACTGGGTGAAATTTCTTGATATTGTTCCCAATGACTATGGGGACAACTGAAGTGTGTTTCTTCTAGAGATGAGAGATTTCAATTGCCAGGTCTCTGTACTTGGTTAGTTTTTCCAATTCTTTATTTTCAATTCTGGCATCCACTGGAATTGCAATGTCAATGATCCAGATATTTCTTCATTCTATTACTACTATGTGCTATGTGTTATGTTCAAGGCGTCTGTCAGTTCAGATCCAAAAATCCCACAAGATCGTGACGTCATCATTTTCTGACACCTTCTCTACCTGGTGTTTACATGGGTTTTTGGAAGCTGGCAAGTTATATTTTTTGCATAATGACCAGTGCACTAACTTTGCCACTCTATCATGCCTGTTTTTGTAAGCTGTGCAATCTTTGGACATTCGCAGATGAGGTGTGACACAGTTTCATCTTTTTCTTGGCAGAGTGGACATTTGCTGTTAGCACTAATTCTTTGAATCTTAGCTTTCATCACGTTGGTTTGGACTACTTGTTCTTGTGCAGCAAAAATCAATCCTATGATTTCATTCTTCTTTGTTCTTCCTTCTTTTTCTTTCTTTCTTTCTTTTCTTCTTCTTCTTCTTCTTCTTCTTCTTCTTCTTCTTCTTCTTCTTCTTCTTCTTCTTCTTCAGCAATAGGATTTTGTCCACTAATTAAATCAATTGATTGCTGAAGGACATGAGGAAACCCTCAACAGGAGGGGAAATGGCTGAGTCATGAGGAATTTTTTTAACATTTTGTTTGACCCTGTCACGATTCCCACATACCCCCTGCTTGTTTTAGCTACGTGCCCCTCAGCTGCCACTAGCTGATTACATCAACATTACCTATTATTAGTAATCGAGGTCCAGGCCATATGTCATTTTAAAAGAACCAAATAGAAATTGTTTATTGATACAGGTGTTGACAGAACAAGCAGTGTTGTTAACTCTTAAACAAACATTCTCCTTTATCCACTTTCAACCACCACTTCCCCGCCCAAACTCCAAAACTCTCTCTCAGTCTCTTCAATCCCATCACTAACACTCTAACTCTTAACTCTAACTCTCTGTCTCCTCCTCCTGCTGAGTCTCTTATATCTTGTGACTCCGCCTCTCCAGCACTCCCATTGGTCTATGCAAATAGCATATGAATATTCATGACCTGGGTGAACACCACAGACCCTATGACTACTGGATTATTATTCTAGCAATAGCTTCAATCATTTTCTCTAGTGCAAGGAAGGAAAGGTATGAAGATGAGATGTCACTTCTTTAGAATCCCCTTGAACCAGTTAAACTGCATGCTAAATACAGGTTGTGGGGTGTTCTTGCACAAACAATACTAGGAACTGAAAAGGGAAAAAAACTTCAATCACTGATAACAGGGAGATAATGTGGAAATTCTAGGAACTTAGGATACGCTTGCTTCCAATAAAGACCAGGCCGAAAAAGAGCAATTATATGTTAGAACATCCAGAGACAGGATGATATCACCGAAGATAATTTCCTAGCTCTGAATATATTCTGAATCAGATTTGACACAGCCTACCAGGGATGATTTATAGATAATTAAATTACTTCTAGCACAAGAATGGAGTGTCTGAGTCAATAAAAGAACAAGCCCTTTGCCTCAAATACTGTAAAGCTTTTTGAATAATAATTTCTTTTGTTTTTCTTTACAAGACTAGGAATTCCCCTTTACGCCTATCAACATGCTATTTTATGTTTCAGTGGATTATGAAGAAGGACAGTGCACAGCAAGGACCAACAGCTTGCTACTATCTGAGTCAAGGTTAAATAATGACAAGCAGGCTGTCTACTGTAAGAGTATCTGTTGTGGTTAAGTATGTCATAAGGATTCAGTAGGCAAGATGTGAATTAAATGTAGGCTGAGCTGGCTGATTACTCAAGTTAGAGTGTCACAGAATAGCTCAGAAATTAGACAGATAATAAAACCCAAACTTATATGGGCCTGAGTACAGCCCCTTTCAGGGATTTGGAAAGTCTTCAGTGTGGAGGGCAGAAGGGGCCATGAACAGATTCCCACCCCCTTTGGATAAGGGTGGGAAAAATCTGAAGAAATGCTGTTACCATGTTGAACTGTATGTGGTTTATTTATTTATTTATTTGGCTTATTTTTTAGGCTGCCTTGTTCCCAATAACATGACTCAAGGTTGCTCACAGAATTAAAAAGAATAGAACTAAAAACACATTCAGTTATACATTTTTTTAAAAAAAATACTATAAAACGGATTAAAATACACTGGATAATTTAAAAATATATGTAACATGCTAAAAACTATTGGCATTCAGGGACTCAGTCGTGATTGTTCAAAGGAGCACTTCCTGGGATTGTGAATCCTTGTGGTTCAAGTCAACAGAGAGACGACGAGGGCCCATGGGTCGCATCTGCCCTCCTGGCTTACAGGTTCTGAGTGTGTAAAGAGGGTTCTTGGGAGCTTCCACTGGGGCAATGTTATTAAGGATCAGCCTGAAATAATATTTGTGGAGAAAGGGAGGGCTCCTTGAGATGACAGGTCAAAATCTATCTGAGCGGTAGAAACAGGTCTGAGACCCTGACCCATTCTTTCTAGGACTAGGGGCCATCTTTTCAACACAGCCACAGATCTGAAAGGAAAAGGGGCAGCTCATGCACAGGACAGGGATGTACCTCACCCTCAAGTTCCCTGGTAATAAAATAGCATGTGAAAGAAATGGTGATGCCAAAACATTTCCCTATGCTATATTGTCTTCATTGTCTTCCACACGTTTGATATGGAAAGGCATTCAAAACACCGACCCCACATCTGCTGCCTTCAACTAGTATACTCCAGGCACAGACTTTCTTCCTTAGTGAGAATTTCACCTGAAGGCTATATTTCAAATGTCCGCTTTGCCCCTAACTCTTTGGAGTGCCAAACTGAGAAGAATACAGCTCTCTTAAGAACCACGATGGCACTTGCAGAGAAGCAGGGATTCTGCGTTCTCCCAACCACCATATTCCATAAAGACCCTTTTTCTTCACTCACAGCACAGCGTACCAAACAGTTAACATATAAGAATTGTACCTACTAGATCTTGGAGGAGTGGCTTTTTTCTTTGCAAAGGGTATTCTCTGCAAAACAAAAACAAGAGACATGTCAGTCATAGGGCACCAGGTAAACCATCTCAGTAAATAAAGATAAATAAATAGCTCTAAATAAAGGTAAATAGAGTAAATAACTCTTTGTTTCTCCTCTTTTTCCAGGTCTCTGCTCTGAAAAGGAAATAAGGATTTTCGTGTTACAACAATTGAAATTCCCCTTGGTGGCATTCAGTGGAATACAATTAATATTAATTTGATTTTTGTGAGTAATTACAAAATGAGACTCTTTTTTTTTCCTTATTAAAGATGAAAAAAAGGCTATTGAGCACCTCTTAATTAGGAGTGAAACATTGCAAAAAAGATTTTCAAAAGGAACCGTGAAGGTTACCAGAGGGGATTATACTGTGAGAATCCATCTAGGAAGTTGTGTAACTCAGCCACAGCCACAGGTTCCTAAGGGGCAATATGCTTCCTTCTTGCTGGAATACAGAGATACAGATGCACCATTTTGGAATACCAAATACTTTTGCTAGAAAGGTGCATGTACATAAAAGAGATCAATCCCATCTTTTCCCATGAAAAATGCAGAGAATTTTCCTCAGGGACTCTCCATGGGCCATCCTACATGGAAGGAGAAGATGATGAGTGAATGACTAGCTGACAGAGATAGCGCTTGCTTGTTTCACTTCTAGACCACCTTTCTCCTTAAGAAGGAAACCAAGGCAGTGGTTTTAGTCTAAAACAAATTAGACTAAAAGTCACAATAAATTACAAAGTTAAAAAATATATAACAACAGCAATTTAAAAGGCTATCTAAGCATTTGAAAACTTTAAAAACACACTTGAAAGGAGTACAAACCCAGCATCCAAGATGAATTCAGTAACACTTGTGCAATTCTCTTTTTAAAAAAAACCACCCTTGGGTTTATGAATGTATTTGTGTTTCTCCATCCACAATACAAAACATCTAGAAATGGTCTGTTATTATTGCATAATATTGCATCCACATTGCCAGCAGTAATGTGAACTTTGGTGAGGTCCAGTTGGTGCTTAAAAGGTTCTTATCTTTAATGCAATCTATTTTAACCCTTGGTACCCATTTGTGAAAGCAGAACAAAGAGCTATTTTGCATCTTAATAAATCGTCCCAAAAAGATTGCATGCCCTAGTCCTGTGCCAGAAAGATACAGGCCAACTCTTAGAGGGGAAAGATGGATCATTTTAAGTAGAAACACAAGCAGTCTTTCTTTCCATGCCAGAGTGCTGTCAGGAAACCATGTATCATAACTATAAGCCAGTGTGGAAATCTAAATCAGGCATGTGTCACTGTAGCCAAAGCAGGCATCTCTAGGAATGGACACAGCAGGCCCAGCAGTTTTAACTCGCAAAAGCACTCCTGGCCACCACCAAAACCTAGGCATATCTAGGAATGGACACAGCAGACCCAGCAGTTTTAACTGGTAAGGAAACACTCCTGGCCACCACCAAAACCTAACCATCCAAGCTCAGAGATGAGTCCAAGAGTACACCCAAGATGCAAATCTGAGATTTCAGGGGGAGTGTAACCCCATCCAGCACAGGTTGGATCCCTCTTCCTTCATCTCCTTTAGGATTGGCTAGGTGTATCTCTGTCTGGTCTGGATTATGTTTCAATCCAATTAAATTTTTTAGTGATCCAATAAAGGTACTATTCAACCCATGACTATAATTCTCAGGTTTCCCTGGAGAAAAGAAACAATTCTGAAGGCATTACCTGAGCAAGAGAAATAGAGCAGGAGAAACTAAAGAGTTGTGAACAAAGTGAACTTTCAAGTTCTGTAGAACTCTTCATCAGGTATAAGTAAAATTTGAGGGTAGGGGAGGAAGTAGCTGGTCCTAAAAACAGGCCCAGATGTAATGCCTATCATACTTCAACACAGGCAAGATGAAGACATAAAGGAATGGGGGGTGGTGGCTGCTTACATTAAACATTGTAGCACCTTGAGGTTAAAGGTGGGTCTTGTGTCAGAAAAAACTGGAAGTCAATTCCTCCATCAAACTGGATTGCCTCCATCAATCTACTGAGGGGAAAACCACTGCTTCTGATCTCTGTAGCCATGCACTTATTTTTTATACTGTTTGCTGTAATTCTTAGCTATCATGCTCTCCTAAATAAAGGTGTTTCTTTTTAGTCTGATTTTTTTTCTTAGTTTGTTGTTGTTTTCAGTCAGCTTAAGCTGGCGGAGACAAATACAGGGTGCAATAACTCTCCTGCACTGACTTGGACATTTCTGTAGGATTAACATGCTAATCCTGGATGATATAACTTGTGCATTATTGCTTTATGAGTGCTCGGAGGAAATAATTAACTGAACACCTAATGTGCAAACAGAGAAATCAACATACCACAATACGCTAAGTAACTGCAGTCCTTTATATGAAAAAAGTAAGCAAAGCGGAGGAAGTGGGTTGTGAATTTACTTTAAAGCTATAAGCAGAGCTGTAAGTAGTCACCAATAGTGATTTATACAATATGCTAAAGTAAGTCCTAAGGACTATTTGATTCAGCCCAGTGGCTGGCGAAGTCTCAGGATGGGGCTAGGATCCAAGATTTCAGTTGAGAAGGAGTGAGAGAGCTGGTGAAGGAAACAGCTGGAGGGTGACAAGGCCTTCATCACCTTGGTTTAGGAGGAATCTCATCATGTTGAAGCAGGAGGAGCACTGGAAGGATGAATGCATGTGGTGATCTCATGTATTTGTATTTTATTTTAGGGTTTTCAAGTCTGTACACTTGGAAATGTTTCCCTTATGTTGTGGATCTCCTATCTTGGTCAATAAGTATATCTGGTGCTTTTTTTTTCTTATTTGACTTCTAAAAGACATGTGCATTTTTCTTTGTTCCTTCCTGCAACTTTTGCTCTGGTGTTCGTGACAAGAACTCAGGTGTGTACAAATGGTAGCATCCCTTTGGAGGCTGTTTATGTCACTTCTGCTTTTGTGTTATTTTATTTTTTTTATTTTTTATTTTTGGTAAAGTTTGTGTTTGCAATAGTGTTTTAAAATAGATCTATAGCCCAATAGAACCGGATAATGTTCCACTGCTGCATTAGATAGCTTTGAAAAAAGAGTAAGCCTTGGCTGACCAAACTTATGAAACAGTTAGGTTTGGGCACAAAGAAATGATATATTTTTGAAACAACATAAAGAGTTTCTGAAAGCCAGCCATTTTAAGCTAGTGTGGCAAAAGGTAGAGATTCTTGTGGCACCTTAAGAAATGATCACTTGTCAAAAATGATCCCTCTGCCATGATGCCACGTCATCATGGTGGGGAGGCTTTGCTCTCCCGCCCAGAAAGTGGTGTCACAGTTGAATGATGGCACTTCCAAGGGGAGGAGTGACAGAGCCTTTAATAAAGCATGGTCCCTCTGGCTCAGCCTCTTTGCCATTTTTTTGCTGCAAAGAGGAGAGCTGTGCAGCCGGGTGAGGAGTGGTTTTGATTTCCCCACCACGGCTTATCTTCAATCTCTGGATCGGGTGGCGCTTCAGCGCTATCCAGCTGGTTGCTCCATTTCCTTATTTATTCACAGGACTTTTATCTGTTTTATTGTTTATATTTATTGTCTTTTACTACACGTGTGTTTATTGTCTTTTACTACACTTTTACTACACTTCTCATGGACTATAAATGCCAACATGCTAGTGAAGAAGGCACAGAAAAGGCTGTATTTCCTGAGAATGCTCGGGAAGTTAAATTTATCTCAGCATTTACTTCTGTCCCACTATCGTAGCACCATTGAGTGTGTCCTAACCTATGGCAGATGTCAGGTGGACATCTGAGAAGAGGTGGTTTTCCATAGGGGAGCCTCCCGGACAGCAGCCCACTTAGGGTCACACGACTCAGTGGACTGAGAAGGTGGGTTACCCTTAACACAGAGCAGCTGAAGGTGTGCTGTTCAACGAACAGCATGTTTTAGAAATAGGAGCTCGCCCTGCTCTATTGAATCGCCCTGCTCTATTGAATAGTCCGGTCTCTGAAAGACTTCGCACTATGGTCAGGACCCCCCTTGTAGTTTACTGTAAATAGTTAATAAAGTTGTGGCCCAAGTTTTAACCCAACAACCTGTCTCATCTCTTTACCTCCAGGCTGTGAGGGCAATGATCCCTCTGCCATGATGCCACATCATCATGACAGAGAGGCTTTCCTCTCCCGCCTGGAAAGCAGTGCCACAGTTGAATGACGCTGCCTCCGAGGGGAGGAGGGACGGAGCCTTTAATAAGGCATGGTCCCTCTGGCTCAACCTCTTTGCCATTTTTCACTGCACTCACTACCCACTCACTTTTTTCTTAAATTAGAAATTGAGGGCGTGGGGGCAGGTTTGCTGGTAGCCCCACCAAACACAGCTAAATTGAGGGCACAAGGAAATTTTTAAAGGTGTAGGTAGCTGGGGGGCATGTGCAGCTTATGGGACACATGTCATCCACCCTGGACTTTAAGGATATTCAGCATCAAAACTTGAACAAAAACGGTTGTAAGCAATTTGTGGAGCACATCAGTTTTAGCAATTTTACCAGAGCCTACCTGTAATCCGTCTTTAAAGTTAATACTATCAAAATATCAACAGCACGTATGAACATCTCTACTTGCAGGAGAGCAGGAAGTATAGGGTTACGTTAAATACTGTCCTGTAGACTCACTGGGGAAAAGGGAGATTCTTCTTTGTCTTTATAAGAAACTAGTTAAATCACCTGGTTCAAACTGGCATGGTATAGTTTTCAGAGAAAAAAACAGTCTAGGAGCCAGCAACTGAAAAATACCATAGCCTACACAGTCAGTGATAATTGAGTTTTGAGTGTGTGTTTACACCTGCCTTTTTCTCCAGAGCAATGCAAACTTCTACAGGGACAATTTTGCTTCTGTTTTGTTCTCAGGCTGTAATTGCTCTTCGTCTTTTTTAGTCCTCATTTGTACTATTTTTCTCCTTCCTTACCACCTGTGGGAACGGCTATCATATGCTGCCTTCCAGGCATCAAAGAAATATGAAGGATTCTGCC